CAGGATGTGAGGGCACTCCTCATACATCATTTTAAAACAAGACAGTGAAGTTTATTTCCAACTCTGGACTAATGCAAGATGGGAAGCAGTGGATTTGCATTACATTGACAAGGGCTTTGCTTAAGTTTGTCAGTGGAGTAAATTTGGGATCATCAGCCAGTACAAGAACAGACTCCAGCCAGTCAGCCCAGCTGATCCACATCCGGCCTCAGTCAGTGCGAGCACAGACCCGGTCCGGACGTCTTTAGCGGGTCCCACAGACCCAGGTGAAACACAGGCAGCCTCAGACATTACCAGCGCAGCCAGAGATGAACAGCCAGCATCAGACCCTAACGGAACAGTTGCTGCTTCACCAAATAACCCAGCAGACTGGCCCCCGGTCTTAACAGACTTCATGAGGACTGAGTTAGTGCGCAGAGGTCTGTTCAAAGCAGCTCTGGACTTTTCTAGAAGAGGTTTCTATTCAGGCTAATTAAAGAGGGAGGACTGTAGTGAGAGCATTGTTGTGTCAGGTGTGACTGTGCAGCAGCTCTGTTTTTGTCTGTGGCCGAGTGCTAACGTAGCTGCTAGAGCTTTGCAATATAAACATGTGAAAACTGAAGCCAACCTCGCTCTGTGTGGGACTGTGAGTTGCACTTTATCAGAGGTGCAGACGTTAACATGTGGATTTTTGATGAGATTGTGAATTGAGAAGTGTTTCAGTTAGTTTTGACCTCCTTGTCCAACACAACCCGTGCACATGCCCAAAGTCCAAAATGAGGTCGGTCTGAAGGGGGAAACTACTACAAGAGCAGAACACAGGCTAATCCTCCCACAGTATAGGAAATATCCACTTGTACTCTTCCTTATTGTGATTCACTGTAACTTATAATGCTGTCTGGAGTGAATTTAAAAATAAATACTGTGTATAGATTTTGATGTGTAGTACTTTTGATTACTTAAGTATATTTTAAAACCAGGTACTTTTTTACTTTTACTTGAGTAACTTTTTTATGTGGTATCTGCATTTTTACTTAAGTAGGAAAATCGAGTACTTCTTCCACCACTGTATTTACAGCAATAAGCCAAAATATTACATTCAGGCATCATGCCCACAACATGGGACTTACATAAGTTTGCATTAAGTTAGTCAACTCTTATAATTTCACAGCACAAACGCCCACTTGCTCATCACTCTCTCAAGATAATTAATCAACATCCAACACTACGGAATAACGTTAATAAAAACACATGCTTACCTTTCTGTTAATTAAACATCTATATAGCCTCAGCATCCTCTCCCCTGCTTCTTGTTCTGGCAGCTCCGTGTCCATTTAAATAAAGCACTTTTAAATCATCTATTAACTTTCTCCTCCACCAGTATCTCTCCCTGATTTAAAGTTCTGTCCATCATCCTGTCCGGTCCTCACGCTGCTCACGTCTGCTTGCAGGTGCAGCTGCGCGTTAGCATCGCTGCTAACGTAACTTTAACCTTCACTAGCTTTGCTTTGCTCCGAATTTGATTGTTTTATGGCGATTTAATAAGTTAATAAGCTCATGTGCACAAAACGCCAAAGCTTCAATTGATTAACGTATCTCTCTCTCCCCCCTCTCGCTCCCCCTCCCTCTCTCGGTCCACGTAAGTGGACTGGGCGCGTTCCATTTCTGTTTGGGCCGTCTGCCGTAAGATGGCTTGATTCCATTTCAAATTTCTGCCAGTCGGCCGTGAAATGAATCCAAAGGCCACTATTTCTGTTGAGAAAGGGTGTTTTACAGCCTGTGATTGTAAAATATGATGGTGCTCATTTAATTGTATATTTCTAACAATATCTGGCTGAGGATATTTACTTATAAAATCACTTTTGCTAAGAGAAGGGGTCATCAAACTGGACTTTTATTCCCTTATGTAATCCCTGCACTTGTCACATATACCATATATATATATATATATATACATACATATATCACATATCATCAGAATGGGCTTTTTATTGTGCATTCAGCCCCCACGTCACATTTCATTTCTTATCTTTATATATTTTCTACACATAATTTATTTGTCCATAGCAAATCCTATAATTAATTTGTAATGTCAATATTTCATTTCTGTTTTATTTCCCATTTAAAAATAATTTATTCTGTATCTCATTGTTATTACCTTTTATTATTTTTATTATTCTGTGTTATGCTTACTCTAGCTAACAGAACAGATTATAATTGTCATGCTGATATAAAATCTTAAAACCAAGAATAAATACATTTACAAACCCATCTTCAGGGTTGTGTAATAGTAGTCTATGCAGTATTGGATGACCTGTAAATAAGAATGAGTTGGTCTTTTTAGCCATAACCCAAGCACTTCAGGCCTTCTTTCAAGCCTCAGATTCGTGCATCTATCAGACCTGTTTTTTTGCTGAGCTATTGAGCTAGGCTAATGAATTCTGATCTGTGAAACCTAAATGTCTCTTAAGGAAAAATGTAATGAAGCCAAGATCTATCTAAAGCAAGTAATCCCAGGGTAAGAGAAGAACAGCAGAAAATAAATCTAAAATTGAGAGTTGTCTGTAGAGACCAGCAAAAAAAAGAGTCAACTGTAAAGTAATAATTTGATCTGTGATCTTTTTTATGGTAACCAGACACAGCTTGGTGACAGCTTACATAGGGAGCTAGGAGAGGAGGGGAAAGTTTATTTTCAGGAACATGATTTGAAAAATTTGACCTAAATGATTTATGAATTTAGTTTTTCCAACACACAGACTACTTTGTGTTAATTCACCTCAGCTGTCTCCACACTGGCCCTGCTCACAATATTTACACATGTGGTTACAGCACTGTGACCTGAGAGGGAACATGAAAACTTAAATATACATGCTTTTGGAGGACAGTGCTTGGACAGATATTGCTACTGTGTTTAACAAATAAATGTTGTTTCTTGTAACCTCTTATTCATTAAAACACACACATACAATAGATGGTGAAAGCGTGCACAGCTTTAGTTGCCTCAGCAGCTACAGGGCAGGGATACAGTAGGCCCAGAGGGTGTGATGTTCAGGGAGCCACTGGAGTGAGCGGCAGCTCCACCTGTATTTGGACAGATCTAACTTTGGCAGCACTTTGGACAGCTGGTCACCAACCTGTTTGACTCCAAGGAGAATCCTCAGTGTCCTGTCTGGTGTTCCTGGCTATGCTACTGAATGGGACAAGATAGAAGACCTCAGCCTGTCAAATACTATGGTAGTCACTGAGCAGCCTCCACAGCCACATCACGCAGCTCGGTCACACGGACATGACCTCTCTCCTGGGCCCTCTTTGCTCTCCTAGTTCCTCAGTGGTACCTGTAGCTGGTCTTAGAGACTCTGTGCCTACACAATAACTCACCAAAGGAAAATTATGGCCTGCATACTAATGACTAATGACACTAAGGATTGCCTTCGTTCCTTAAAAATGGTTTTAGAGAGCAGGGAGAGTTTTACAACAATCATTTTTGGAGAAAATCTTTACTATGATCCAGGATCATGTCCTGTTTTACATAAGATATAAAAACATGTCAGTCACTGAAATGGCAGCTCAGGTACATTTATAATGGCACCCACCTCCACCCTCCCAACCAAAATGATTCACATTTGTTACTTTGTAGATTATTTGATTACATTGCAGGTGCTTGCACAGAGAAAAGCAAAATCCAAGAAGAGATATAGGTGTTTCTTTAATTTCTCCTCAATAGAAAATATTTACTTTTATACTAAGGTGAGACCAAAGGATTTTTTCTCCTACGTCTTAAATTCAACTCAGGAGAAACAACCACATATCATCTCATTTATATCTTCCTCAATCAAAACAAGAGATCTCTAACTGATCTTGAATAAGTCTAATTTAATTTAAGTACCCTGAACATTGCACCATATGAGACCAGAGAAAGAGCCAAAGAAACCTCACATATGATTCCTGTAAATGTTAAGTATTTTCATTTTAGGGGCTTTATACTTTTGCTCCCCTACATTTTTAAATCCTGTATTGTATTTATTGCTGTTTATCTGAACCCTATAAAGTTACTGAGATGAAGAAAAATAATTATTTGTCAATGAAAATATTGCACAACTTTGTTACAGCCAGCATAACTGGAACACCAACCACTGATGTTTGGAGATTAATTCATTAAGGACAGAATGCATGCATGAACTGAGGTACTACAATGTCATACAGAATGAGCACTTTTACTTTTGATACTTAAGTATATTCACTATGACTATGGAATACTTTTATACCTTTTTGAGGACTTGTGATAAATATCTATTTCTACTTTTCTTGAGTAAGGGACCATTGTACTATATTTAAAGTAACTATCAGCTGGATGGTGCACTGGAAAAGTTGTTGCACTTAAAACAGAAGGTACAGTATTCAAAATGTGCTCAGGGCATCCTTTTTTATCTCCTGAGGACAAAAAAGAGCCATTAATAAGACTGAGCAAAGCATCTCCCTCAAGTCTCTTCCTATGATGTCTTAGCCAGAACCTGGGCAAATGTGGAGGGAACACAGACAGTTCTCCTGACAGTGTTGAGGTCCCCCTTAAACCTCCGCTGCCCCATATACAAATACACACAAAGTGGCCTGTACAGTTCCACAGATTCAAGACTCTCTAAAACCACCATTTTTCTTTATACGTCTAAAATTGTATAGATTTTGTTACTAGCTGCATTTCAGATTTAGATGAATAAAATACAGTCAACAATTAAATTACGGTGTTTGCTTATGGTACTTTTATACTTTTAGTTAAGTAAAATTTTAAATATATGAAATTTTACTTCTAACAGTATGTAAAGCCTGGTGTTTCTACTGTCACTGATAAATGTGTTTCTTGCTTTATTTTAAACACTGTAGCCTGTAACACAGGCCTCTGTGTCAGAGCTGAGAAGTGGAGAATATTGTGGTGACTTTGCAGCCTCTCGGCTCAGGCTTAATTAATGGGCCATCAGCGGAGGGACACGCCCCCCTGCACCTGGAACTTTCCCCCCTCCCCCAACCTTTCAGCAGCGCAGCAGAGAGGAGCAGAAGAAAACAGAGCGTGGCCGGAGTTTGGAGAGATTTGTTAGCAGGAGTTTGGAGAGATTTGTTTGAAAAATTTAAAGACGAAGACTTCATCTTAACCGACGCAAGAGGCAATTTCAGAGCAGGTAAGATTTATAGATATTTCTGCTTCTTGTCAAATGATGTTAATGTGCAATATTATTTTGAATGGAAGAAAACAGCAAGCTCTAACTTTAATTGAGTGGCTCCAGAACCGCTCCAGTCAGATCTCCAGCACACAATTGATAGGTACATGGTTTAACATGATGGCAGAAGTGCATATTTAATGGATTTAGTGCAGATGCAACAGAATAGTGCTGTTAAATTGTAAATATTTTTTTCTGTGTAAATAACAATACACTTATAGGCTACTGTGCATGAGGCCGTATTTGCTTTGCGACAAATCCCAGTCTGTTTTTTCTGCTGCCACAGCTGCTTTTAACTCCCCTGTTACTGTCAGTAACAATTCCACCTCGTGTTAGATCCATGCAGAACTATCTCTGGTGTGGTTTTTAGTCTGTAGTAGTACCTTCTTCTTTTAACAAATCTTCTACTAATGCGAAGTAGACAATGTGCTTCCTGTTTATACCGGCACGCGCATGCTCAGTGTAGGCTATGTGGACGGCCACTTCACGTATTCAGAGACAGAGATCCATTCTGTTATGCAGATAAAATGCTGCTGGGGACGGAGATCGTTTTTGGTTTAAATCTCCTTTTAAACAGAAACGTAGTAGTGCGGATGTGGCCCAAGACAGGTGAGCCAACATTACACCTGAGAGAGGACACTGAAGTAGATGTAACACAGTCTCTTTTTATTATTATTTTGATCCCAAAGCAGCTCTGTTCTCATGGCTTATTGTGTGAAAATTAAATATTTATCAGCTACTACTTGATTGATTTAGTACCCTTTCCTATTGCCTGTCTCACTCCCACCTCTGTGACTGTCTGTTTAGTTAGTGGAGGGAAAGCTTCTGACAGGGAGAGCTGAATAACAGTTGCCACCATAAAAAGAAGAAAACGTGATGTTTCCTGACAACAGTTTGTTTATAAAATTAGGTAAAATCTGCCCGCAGCCTGCAACGGATTTTCAAAAAGTAACACTTACTTTATAAAGTACACCTGTAAAGTCTTATACAATCCATTACAACAGTGCTGCCACAAAGTCTACTTTAATGATGCCTTTAATCAGTTTTCTTTTTTGACACAGTCATATAGGTGTTAAGTGAATTAAATTTTTTAGCACTGAGGTCATAGTTGGTGAAAATGTTGTACTGGACTACATCATATTCAGATGTGTTTAATATTCCGCCCTACTCATATATATAAACAGGGAGAGCAAAATCACCTTTCAGTGTAACAACACCTTGAACTATAGGCTTAGTAATAAACAGAACTGAATTTACACATTCCTGACAAAATGGTCAGAAACTGAACCTGTTGTACAGAATTGCAGTAGATTGTACAGGTGTCCTGAATAGTCGCTACTGAGTATAAAGCAGTATCTGGAAACAAAGCACAAATGGCACATTGTCTCACTGGAGACTTGAGACGTAACCTCGTATTTATGACAGGGTGTCCAATTCACTTAAAACATGTGTTTATTCTCTCTCTCTCACTGTGTAGAGAGATGTATTATATGATATGAAATGCAGCAGTACTGTATCACTTAATATTACTACTACACATTGTTATTTTTATATTTTGTTCAGAGTATAACATGACATCATTTTCATTATTCTCATTGGTGTTAGGTCCAGGAAGAGATCGCTATGAGTCAAACACAGGTATGTGCCTTTACAAACTCTTTACTCCATCCTGACACTGACTTCTTTCTTCACTGTAAAAGTAGTAGTAGTTGTGATTCAGCGTTAAAGCTGACATTTTTAAATGAAACAATATCAGCTGCAGACCGATAATATAAACAGGAATTTAGGGCTCGGGCAATTCGTCAACATAGTCGATCCAGTGTTGGCAGGATTCCCCCGGACAAGCTCCAGCTACAAGACCGTGCCTTCGACCATCTAAAGTTTGGAAGTATTTTAGACAGACAGTCTCTGTGATCTGAGAAAAGCTTCACTGCAGCACAACTGTCCACGAATACGTGAAGCAGCATGAACACGTGAGCGAAAGTATCCTGGAGCACTGACGGCAGCACCGCAAATCCTATTTACTTTCTGTCGCCACACGAGCATGGCACATCATCAGCACAAGGACACGTAGTATTTCTTAATCGCTTTCATGTTAAAAGTAATTTTTGCCCCGCTGCTGTCATTGTAGCATAACGTTACACCTCAAGACATCGAACGTTCGGCCGTTTCATATTTTCTGTTTTAATTAACGGCCACATATGAGCGAGAAAACAGCTGAAACTAACATTACAGACGATCTGTGACTGTCTGTACAGTCTGTGAATCCTTTCAATTGTTTTCTTTGCCCGACACTGATGCAGAAATACATTTGATTATCATACTGCAGTACTCAATATTGAAATTAATCCATGTCAAAAACATTAAAAGTTTTAAGTAAAGTAGCCTAATAATTAATGTCTGTTATTGTTGTTATCACAACACATCAATGGCGTGGAAATTTGATTCATTTTAAGATTTGCTGCTATTCTTATTTTTTATATATATATATATACACACATTATTCTAATGTGCTTCATCAGGATGATTAAAATATAGATTTATTTATTAGGAATGTTTTTGATATTTATTTTGGATAAATTGGTATGTTAATCGAGTAATAGGCAACTTTTTTCCTTTTAGAATACAGAAAATTAGTCGTTAGATTAATTGGGTAATTGAAAAAATAATCGTTTGATTAATTGACTTGAAAAATAATCGTTACGTACAGCCCTAATCAGAAATTGAATATCTGCAGGCTTAGAAGTTGTGATTATTTTACAGTACTTAATCTTAACGCTGTTCCTGAACTTTAGCTGCCAGTAATCTTACTGCTAACATCAGGCGAGATGGATTTATATAGCCTGCAGTGGAAAAGCTACATTTTACAAGGGGTTGGGGTAAACAGCTGACTGAATGGGATATTGCTCAGCACTGGGGATGTAGCGATTGCTGGATTTCACTATTAACCGTGCTTTAAAACGTCACGGTTAATTAATCAGCGTTTCCCACACATAGGGTTTACTTGGGCGGGCCGTCCAGGTAGATTAACAGCTGCCCAAGTAAATTTGGCGACCCATTTTACAATTGTTTTAAAATAAGTAAGTAAAGGTAATACATAATAACTTATTTAAATAATGTGGCAGGTTGTTGGGGAATTAAATATAATTGTGACACTTACAATCAATGCTGTCGCACTGAGATCGAGCTTTCAGTACAACATAAACAAACAAAGCAGGTGTAACCGACAGCACCGCTGCGCTATGAGGCCTATTTTCAATGGCTTGTGCCACGCCAAAGCTTGACGAGCTCGCACGCAAGCAGCAGTCAAATTAGCTGAACTTTTGCGCTGAACCCAGCTTCCACACAGTGCAAATCACTTCTTTTGTGAAAGGTTCTTTATGGAAGAACGTTGTCCTCTGCCGACCTTCAGTCACTGAACATTTAACATCCTGTTGCTTCCTCCTGTCTGTGCTGAGAAAATGTTGCAGGTGTAAAACAGAACATCAGGAGCTTATAAACTTCCAGAACTGTGGGCTACCAATTACCTGCATTTCAGTTATTAATAACGCTGCATGAGACATGTTCTCAATTTTCATCATTGAACATTCATCATCATTTTCACTAAAACTTATACATGTGGATGAGAGTTGATGACAACAGTTCAGTTTATTCCCCTCCCCAATAACAATTTCCCCTGGGAGATAAAGTTAATATTCCTCTTATATTAATAATAATACTTAAATATTATAGTTTTATAATTGTTAATGTAATATTAAAAACCTACTTAAGTAATTACTAGTGTTGTTAAATTAAATAATCATGATAATCTTGAAACCGTGATTATTCCTCTGACTATAATCGTACCAACAAAATCTGTAATCGTTGCATCCCTACTCAGCACAAGCCAGTCTCTCGTGTTTCAACAGTTTCATTTACCAGTCCTGACCAGCACGCACGCTGTCACCGTGTACACGGACTAAAACTTCTAGTGAAGTTATGGATGTTATATTATGACATGTTAGAACAGTTGCAACATTTTGGTACGTGTGCTTATTCACTTTCTCGCCAAGTGCTGGATGAGAAAAGTAAAGGACTGTCATGTCTATTCACTAAATATGGAGTTAGAGCCAGCAGCCAATTAGCTTTAGATAATATAGATTTATTTATATTTAGCATGCACACTAAAGTGATTTGATCTTCTCAATAAACCCTCAGAAAGAAAGACAATACATGTATTCCCCCAAAAAACTATTTCTTCAAGGTAAATTAACTTTTACGTTAATTGTCAGTTATTAACATAATTTATTTGTATTATTCAACACTATACTACTAAAATGACTATGTAAAAAAGCCTTTGTCCTGAGCATGAACTCAAATCAGTCCCTGCTCGTTCTGTTCTCTCAGACAAAAGTTGATGGCAGATTTCTTTTTAAATGAAAGTAGAGTCCCAGGCAGAGACTGCAACTTTTTGGCCAATCCTGAGAGCAAGATGTCAGTGGGACTGCAGTCAGTTTGTTGCTGTGCCTTGTCAACTTGCAAAGTTGTAGATACCATGCAGTTCTTGCTGCGACAGTCGTAATGTGGGTAAAACGTTGAGAGTGGATGACAAGTAAACGACCTACTGAAAAATAAGTGGAGTCTGTTCAAAGATGTCAACAGTTTATTAGTCAAGATTCAATTCAGTTACATACTTGTCAGTTTGTGTACTTTGATTGTATTAATAAAGCAAATGGAAATAAGTGATTATTATATTGGTTTTAATGATTAGGTTGTATGAATGTGGTCATTCATAAAGTAATTCTATGGAACAAAAATTTTATACCCACAAAGATACATTGGGAATTATTATTGTTATGTAATCATAGCACCCTAAATTGTGACAGATTTCCCAGCCCTATCATCAATAGGGATGCAACGATTACAGATTATTGTCAGAGAAATAATCACGGTTTCACGATTATGCATTAATTTTCACTAGTAATAACTTAAGTTGATTTTTAATATTAAATTACATTAACAATTGTGTTTCTATAATATGTAAGTATTATTACTATAAGAGGAATATTAACTTCATTTATTCCCCAGGGGAAACTGTTAATAAGAGGGAAATAAACTGAATTGTTGTCATCAACTCTCATCTAGACATCATTCATGCAGTGTTATTAATAACTGAAATGCAGGTAATTGGTAGCCTACAGTCCTGAAAGTCTAAAAGCTCCTGATGTTATGTAGTGTTTTACACCTGGCAACATTTTTTCAACACAGATGTAACGTTAAATGTTCAGTGACGGAAGGTATTGAAAGGACTATGTTCTTCCATAAAGAACCTTTCAGAAAAGAAGCGATTTGCGCTGGGTTCAGCACAAAAGTACTTCGACTGCGGCATGGCGTGCGGTGCGCGATCCTCTACACAGCAACAAAGTGCCCTAGCGCGGCGCAAGTCGCTGAAATAATGGGCCTCTTTCTGTGCGGTGGGTCTGAAAGGTTACATGCTGCTTTCTTTGTTTACGTTGTACTGAAAGCTCGACTCTCACCGCTACGGCATCGATTGTAAGTGACACGTTCAGGTTTAATTCCCTATACCAACTAAGGTGGGTCTCTGACATTGACAGCTTTGTGTTGGAGAGATTTGTGCAGCGCTGTTCATGAGAGACGGAGAGAGTGAGCGAGAGATGTTGCGCGAATATATACACTGTAGAAACAGTTACACCTTTAGAAGAGCAGTTGATATTCAGTCCTCGTATAATATTAGTGTGCAATTATCTGATTAATCCTCTGTCAGTACCACAATTTCCACGGACGGTGTTTATACTGTATGTGCAGTCATTATTTAAAAAAGGCCTAACAAAATTAGCCGAGTGTTATATAAAAAAATCTAAACAACTAACAAGTATGTGAAATATGTTTAACAAAAAGAAAATGAAGAAAGGAAAGAAAATGCTCGCAAAGGAGGTATTGGGTGTGTAATTGCTCTAGTTTTAGTATAGTGAAAATGGTGTAACTGATCCATACAGGCCAGTAACATTGGAAGGTCAAGACAAGTCATTTTAAAACTCCTTTTATTCACCGGCAGTCTTTGTACTCTGCAACTTAGGTTTTATTAGAGCACAGAGTAATAATAAATGACTGTTGCTGTTTTTCACAGGTGAAAGTCTCACTTTCACCTCCACCCCACACACAGTGAAGAGAGGAAGACCAGTGGATAATATGTTTTTGGCAGTAAGGATGCTGTCCATTTAAAACCTGAAACACTTTTCAACTCTCTAACAGTTAACAAATACAGAAGGATGCAGCCTTACCCACACTATATAGTATGAGGTGTTACTTTTTGTATGCTCTTGTTTTTCAGATGGAGGTTCTGACCCCTGCGCTGAGTTAGAGATAAGGAGAACTCACTGATGGTGAGTTAAATTGCTTTAATTATGAAATATACAAAAACTCCTGCCTTTGTTTCATACTTTAACTCAGTCAAAAGACAAGTAGAGTACTACTTTACTCTTACTGTAAGTATGTGTACTTTTGTTTGAGTGTTTGTTTGTAACTCTTTTCTAATTTATGATGGTCAGTGTTGGGCAAGTTACTCAGAAATTATTATTACTAGTTATTACTCCTTTAAAGTATTACTTTACTTATTACTGGGTGGGCAATATTAGATTGTGGACGATTAAAATGTCTCCACGATCTATCTTTTCAGAGAGATCATTACTGTCGTGCTACAGATCAATCTATTTAGTTCTGTCTGCGTCCTCTGCTGTCTACTAAGGCAACACAGTAACTGTTGGGCCTCATAAAATAACATTAAAGTTCCCCGTGTCCCCAGCTACTCTGTCTCAACTCTCTGTGATTTACGGAGGTTGCTGATGAACAGATGTGTTACTTGTTGCTAAAGTAACTGCTAAGTGCCATTAAGTAGCTGCTGTGATCTTATAAGCTCAGTTAGCCTAGTGGTCGTAGCTGACTCAGCCCGGACTGGGAGCTCGCAGCACCTGGGAGTGTTTTGTGTTAACGTTACACCTCTACTCAGGCACTGGAGGTTTTAGGCCTCAGCAAGCGGCGCTGGTTTGGGCACCAGAACAGGAGCCAAGCGTGCAACGACACCGCGCTCAGCAGCCTCCCAGTAAACACTGTATGAACGGGACCGAACACAGACTTTGGACAAGTTTGTGCAGCGGTGTTCACGAGAGAGAAAGAGAGCGCGAGCCAGGAGGTGCTGCACGAATATTTGCTCCTCAATACAGCTCTGGTCAAACATGATTTTAAATATGCCTAGTAAAAAATTTTTAAATTAATGTGGTGGTCAGCGTTGACAATTAACCAAATTATAGGCTAATTATGGGAAACACTGCTTTCACTACCACCCTGCCTTTGCCCCCAAACAAAGCATCTCTCCCGAGTTATTAACTAATATCGTATTCACAACAGCGAGTATGCTATGGTCTTTACATACGGTACCGCTGAGCTGCCGCACAGTCGTGGATTCATGTCAAGGATGGTGCGTTTAGTAACGAGTTTTTTAGAAAAGTAACTACACTTCACTTTACAATTACACTACTAGTTACAGGGAAAAGTAATATTATTACAGTAAAGCGTTACTGCCCAACACTGATGATGGTAAATATTAAATGTTTTTGTGACCTTTAACAATTAACCTTTTTGTCCCATGGTAAGAGAGTTGCAATCATCTGTCAGTTCTTGGTTGTCACATTTAATTAAATGCACATGAGTTAAAAATCCTTATACTGAGGTTTCATCGACTAATAGGAAATGATGTTTGTCTGCTGTTGTAGATGAGACCCCAGGCTTCCACAGAAGAACAAAGTCAAACATGAGAGAGCAAGAGAGCATGGAGGAGGTAGAGAGAACTGCGATGTAGAGTGCCTG